GCCCTGCTCTTTGTTTACAACCGTGAGCACCGCGACAAACAGACTACAGCACACGGCAGTCTTCTTCTTTCTTTTCTTTTCATCCCCCGGAATTATTTACCATTGGCATGGATACCCGAATTCTTTTTTGGACGTTTCTGCACGTTTGGCTCCTCTGGGAGTTTGTGACTGCGAGCAGAAACAACGTTCCTGGCGGGTTGCAAACCACATACTCGAGAGACATTCTGCTGCAGCTCGGATTTAAAACTCATCATGCCATCAGCACAGACATGCTTCCCGAAGAAATTCTCCGGGATAACTCACTAAGACAACTCCGCTCACAGAAATAACAAGGTAACCAGGAGGGGAAAGAGAAAGGGAGGAATCAGAGCCAGGCTCAAACGGGAGACATGTAAACAACGGCCGCTTCCATCTATCATCCTGGCTAATGTACGCTCCCTCCGCAATAAAACGGACGAGTTACAGGCCAACATTAACCACATGCATGGGTACAGGACTGCCTCTGTTCTTGCTTTTACTGAGACGTGGTTAAATAAGAACAATGATGATAACACGCTGCACGTTGATGGCTTCTCCCCCCCTTTAAGACTTGATCAAGACAGTGAGCTCACTGGGAAACAACATGGCGGCGGCGTGTGTCTTTATGTAAACACATGCTGGTGCTCGACGATCGTCGTGAGGGAGAAACTGTGCACCTCGGACATTGAGCTTCTGGCTGTCTCCCTTCGCCCTTTCTATCTCCCCAGAGAATTTCCACAACTTTTTCTCATCCTGGTTTACATCCTCCCCAGAGTTAACGCAGCAACAGCCACTGAACACATCACAAACTTATTAAATAAACTGGAACTCATATCACTGGACTCTCCCAAATTCATCTTGGGCGATTTCAACCATTGCTCTCCTGAAAAAGCACTAAAAGGCTACCAGCAGTACATTACATGCAGCACCCGCCTGGGGAAGACACTGGATAAATGCTATGGTTCAATTCTTAACGCATACAGAGCTGTTGCTCTCCCCCCTCTTGGCTCTGCTGACCACCATGCCATCCTGCTTGCTCCAGCATATACTCCTGTAATAAAGAGGGTTAAGAAAGTTGCTAAGAACATCAAGCAGTGGACCAACGAAAGCATTCTTACACTACAAGGATGCTTTGAATCCACTGACTGGGATAACCTCTTAGCCCCCTCCAACAACATTAATGAGCATGTGGACACTGTTTCATCGTACATCTCCTTCTGTGTGGACAACATCATCCCCTCCAAAACAGTCACAATCTACCCCAACAATAAACCTTGGATCACCAAAGAGCTCAAGGAGGTCCTCAACAAGAAGAAAAGGGTCTTCCTCATCGGCTCTGAAATGGAAAAAAGGGAGGTAAACAGAGAAGTCAAGCACGCCATAAAAAATGCCAAACTCAAGTACAAGAACAAAGTGGAGGAAAAATTCACACAGGGGAACCTCCGCTCAGCTTGGCAGGGCCTCAAAAACATGGCTGCTGTGAACACTGCTGCTACCAACATCAAAACCATCGAGGTTGCAGGCAGCAGCTCTACTTCTCTCCTCAACGATCTCAACTCATTCTACACCAGATTTGAGAAGGACAACACGACACAGCTGGAAGGAACAGTGTCCATGCTCAAGCCCAGTGACTCTGCACTCACCTTCAGCAGAGAGGATGTGGTGAGAGCAGCTCACCTGGTCCAGACAACATCAGTGGCCGCATCCTGAAGCACTGTGCCGAGCAGCTAGGGGGCGTGTTTCAGACCCTGTTCCAGAGCTCTATGGACAGCAGCACAGTACCCCAGCTGTGGAAACACTCCACAGTTATCCCCATCCCCAAGAAAAGCCCCGCCAAATCACTGAATGACCTCAGGCCTGTGGCCCTCACGTCTCTGGTGATGAAGGCCATGGAGAGGATCATAAAACAACACATCATCAGAGAAAACGACTCCCAGATGAACCCGCTACAATTTGCTTATCGTGCAGGCAGAGGTGTCAATGATGCAAAAACATTCATAATAGACACTGTTCAAAAACACCTGGAGCACCCCAACACCTCAGCCAGACTCCTGTTTGCAGACTTCTCCTCTGCATTCAACACCCTGCAGCCTCACATCCTGGCTGACAAACTTTCAACTTGCTTCCATCTGAACGACCAGCTTATCCTGTGGATATTGGACTTTCTGACCAACAGATCACAGAGAGTTCAGGTCAACAACACCTTCTCCAACCTCCAACACATCTCAACTGGCTCCCCTCAGGGCTGCGTGCTCTCACCTCTGCTCTTCATCCTCTACACCGATGACTGCAGAACCAAACAGCCATACTGTCACCTGGTGAAGTACGCAGACGACACAGTTCTCCTGTCTCTGCTGTCAGGCCCCTCTCAGCACCATGGACCAGTTCTTCAGGAGTTTGTGGAGTGGTGTGACATCTCCTGCCTCGAACTGAACGTGAGCAAGACCAAAGACATGGTGGTGACCTTCTCCAACAAGCAGAAGGAACTGGCTGCATCAGCAATCACCACAATCCATGGGAATCCTGTCGAACTAGTAGAGGAGTATAAGTACCTGGGTACCATCTTCGACAGCCTGCTGAAATTCTCCTCCAACGCCGGGGAGATTCTCAGGAAATGTCAGCAGCGAAAATACCTCCTAAGGAAGCTCAATTCCTTTGGAGTCAGTAAGAACATTCTTCTGACCTTCTACTACTCCTTCATTGAGAGCATTATTACTTTTTCTATAACCTGCTGATTCCACTCCACCACCCTCCAGAACAGAAAGCGCCTGCAGAGCACGCTCACAGTCTGCTCTAAGATCATTGGACTACCTGTAAGGACTTTGACATCAATCAATCTATGAGCAACAGACAATCAGGCTAGCAGGTCGGATTATGCAGGACCCCTCACACGCTCTCTTCCCAGCGTTTGAGTGGCTCGCTCCCCGCAGGACGCCAGCTTCGCTGTCCCTGCAGGACACAGAGGAGAAAAGCAACCTTTGTTCCCAGGGCTGTCCAGCTCCTCAACTCCTAACCCCCCCCAACAGACACCAACACCTCTCACCCAATGCAGACTCTCAGCTGTGAACTTTGCTTTTTTACTTCCTTTATATTTGCCATGCACCTTAACTGCCTCTGCTTTATCTGGTCTCATGCACTACATCACTTTATTCTATCCTTTCTATATCAGTATTCATACAGTTCTGGTTACTTTATTCCTGTTGTTCTTATCCATCATTGCACTACGGTCACTTTATTTATCTCATTTTTACCTTTACAGTTATATTGTATATATTAGTTCTGTTCTTCCATTATTCACCATGCACCTTATTAACTTATCATTTAGTATTTGCCTACTTGCACATAGCTCTGTATATATATATTTATTTCTTGTTTACTGCATATAGTTCTGTTTACATCTGGTCACTACTGCACATAGTTCTGGTTATATCTGTTTACATCTGTTAGTCCTATCACTGTCCACTTATATCTACTCTTTTATATTTTGTATTTTGAAGTTAAGTTTAAGCTTTAAGTTGTATTTAAATTGACACTTTATATTTAGGTTAAAATGTTTCGTTTACTTGCACTGTTGTTAATTTACTGCTCTGTGGGACTTTGAATTGCCCCCCCGGGACAAATAAAGTTTTTTGAATTGAATTGAATTGAATAAAGATGTGACTTAAACTAAGACAGTGTAAATAAGTGTTGGTCTAAAGTTTTAAAATCACTTCATTCGATCAGAAATCAAGCTAACGAAATGGGCCATCCTGTAGGCCCAAGTTTTTTTTTTTCTCTCTAGCAATTATTACTTCAAAATGTTAGCTAACGTATCTGAAGTCTTGCTCCCTCTTGTGGTGACGCAGATGATGTGGAACCATTCATTGCGCATGAATGTCCTAACACAGAGGTTCTCTAACTTTTTGGGCTAGTGTACCCCCTTTCAGAATTTCTTTCAGCCAAGTACCCCTTTGTCCGGCCAAGAAGATTTTCAGGAAATAATTTGGGAAAAGAACATGAATAAATTGATGTATGTGGTTTTCATACATTCATACATAAAGCAAGCTATTTTATAAATGAATATCCTCAAGTTGGAAATAGTGCCCTATTAAATGTTGCATAGAGAACATATGTTGTTAATTAATTTGTCTTTAATCAGTGAATGGATTTTCCGAGAAATCATTATATTGGTTTGTTGTGGTGCAACTTTTTTTAAATGACATTTGTCACGTACCCCTTGCAGTACTCCCATGTACCCCTAGGGGTACACGTCCCCCCCATTTGAGAAACACTGTCCTAACAGACACCAGGAAGACATCATCAAGGACACCAGAGATGTGGTGGATGTGACACTCGGTTGTGACATGCGTGCTGACTCACCAGCTGATCATTTACTTTGATGAGATAGATAGATGATAATAGATGATTATTATTGTCTGTTTAGTCATACAAAGGCAATACTTTTTTTCTGAGTTTTCTCTCTTATAAGTGCAGGACATTCTACAAAGTATGGGAGCTACACTCAAAACAAACAAGGTCATTGACATTCAACTAGTGCAGGTATAACACTGATAAACTGCTGGAATTCAGAATCATATTAGTCCTTTTGTTTTAACTTTGCAGAGCACATGTCTACTTTATTTTGTTTGTCAGAGCAATGCAGTTGAAAACAGCTTACGGATGGAGAAGGAAGAGGTCCTAATCAAGGCCACTGTCACCGACAGACATACGGTGGTACAGAAGTTTTTGTGGGAGCAGAGACCAGACATTACCCACTACTTTCACCCTTGGCATATGGCAAAGGAAGTGTATTTGAATTAAAACAACAATAAAACAAAATCCTGAGATTGTCTTCTACAATTTGTGTTTAAAATGTTATTTATTGTGCCCAGGGATTGGGAAATAAATGTGATGCGCTGGCAAAAAATAACAAAAACAAAGGATGTCGGCTTGTGGTAAACCATCTTTACTGGGCGGCATCAACTTCCACATCAGGGGGAGGAGAAAAACATACTGCCCCAACAAAAACGTGGAAACAATGTTTTTATTCAAGGGGAGGGAGTTGGAAACCAGGTTCAGGAAACTCTCATCTGATGCGGGTGACAACACAAGAAGGGATGACCTCCCTGATGTTCTGGTCCATGTATCCCCAGCACCACCGCACAAAATTGCAGTATGCCAGGTGTCTGTAGGAACTGTGAAAAATGAAAATAACAAAATAATGGTAAACCTTTTTGCAGTGCTTTGTCCTAAATGACAATGATTTTATATACTCCAAATCAAGGATAATGTTCAGAATGGAAATAATATTGGCCTATCACAAAGGATTCGGATTGTACACTCTGACTTTGCACACTACATGTTGTGACTAAAAATATTTAGAAACTATTATTTGTATAAATTGACAGTGATTTAGTAAAACTGACCTCTTGAGATCTGGTGTCTGCATCTCCCCATAGAGCTGCATGTATGTCTCATACAGAGCCTGCAGCACATAGGGGTTGAGGGCAACTGGTTGGAAACCTGGGTGGGCAGTTATGCAGGCTGCAACCCCAACCTGCTCACATCTATGCATCACCTGCAAGAAATGAAAAACGGAATAACTTTGTGATGGTGTTGTGTATGGATGAATGTGTTATGAGATCATGAACTAATAATGCAATGTGATCTGTAGGTATTCTTTGCAGTAGTGCCAGGTCGCAGTATGGGATCAAACATACATTGTTCTGTTGTGGCTCTTGGTGTTCTGTTAACTTTGCCACCTCCTTGCAGCAGATATTCTCTCGAGGAGAGAGCTTTGAACAGTGACAACAAGAACACCTGTTGTAAAAGAAAATAAATCAAAGTGCATTACTGTGAAACATGTTGTACATTTTAAAATAGTTATTTGTCTAAAATGTAAAAGTCATAATAAATCCTGCAGGGGGCCTCGTGTAGCCTACCATTCAGAGACGTCCCCCGTCCTCTCCTGCACCTCACTGTCCTGATCACTCGCTGCCCCTGCTAACGGATCAAACCGATACGGCTCAGGACCTCCGTGGTCCTCATGATCTACAGGAGGGTCTTCAGGAGACTCTGGAGGAGAGAAGTCCTCGTCCTCGCTCATGCCTAAATAACCTGTGTGTGTGTGTGTGTGTGTGTGTGTGTGTGTGTGCGCGTGTGCGTGCGTGGGTCAAACATTGTATCATGTTGCGGCTGCGAAGGAGTGAGTGGGCGCGTCTCCCCCGTGGGTGTTGTGAGTGTTGCGACACCCACACTTTCACTGAAACGTAATTTCATCCCCCACACTTTTTACCAGTGGAGTCATCGATGAAAACCTATTGGTCAAGTAAGATTTATTAAGTGACAGTTAAGCCAATCATAGCTGTTTGGTTACAGTTGAAGCACGGTAAAGTTACATTCATTTAGCAGTAATCCTCCTGTCAGTCATCACTGTCTGAGTCAGTGCTCAGAGCTAACAAATGGACACATGCTACATGTAGCATCCTTCTGAAAGAGAGTTAGTCACCCAAACAAATGTTTTTAAGATAAACCCACCTCACAAAACAACGTAAGTTTAGCATTATTTATTTACTCCCGTAACTTTACGATGTAGCGGAAGTCCCCTTTGCAGTTTTTCAAAATAAAATCACATTATATTTGAAGACCGGAAATAAATAGACTGAGGCACAAGGCAATAAGAAAAGCAAAATAAAAGCATCACAAAGAGCAATTTTGAATCTGGTTTTTAGAGCTTAAGATAACTGGGTTACTCACAATGGATGTTCATAAAGTTAGTGTCTATTTATAATCTTTTGTAACTTTGTCTTGTTGTATGATGTGTCAGCTAACATTAGTTATTGGACATTAAATGAACCAGAATGTGTTGGTTTGTTAGAGGGTGGTAATATACAAGTATTAGAACACCTGCACTTTTAAAATCGCTGCTCCATCCATGCTAAATTGACTCCACCTGAGACGTTTTCAGAACTGTGCCTACCTGTTAATTAATATAAAATAATATTTGAAAATAAATACAAGACAAAGGGCAGGACTGTTTGAGAAGAAGATCTCAGATTGGAGTTACCTGTGTCTGTTTACTGACCAAACTTTATTATACAATCTCACTTACTAATAACGATATCTGATTTTTTAAAAGCTGCTACAAGCCATGATAGTCATGTTTAGTTAAGGAGATATATAGCAAAATAAGTAAATGTGTTCAGAGATTCTCACTTTTATGAAAAAAATAATATACATAAAGCTCACACAGCTAACTTAGATTAATAACTGAGGTTACTGCTCGTTCTGGAGACTGATAGCCATGGTTACGTTTGTCAAATCTCATCTTTTTCTGAAACAACTTTTTCTCATGCTCTGAAGGATCTAGTCTTCCACGTAATTATTATAACAATCCCATCATGCCTTAAAGATTCTTCAATCATTTACATCGTCCATTTAAAGTTGTGATTCATATTTCAACAGGCCTCTTTTTAATTTTCTGATCTTATTCAGAGAAAGATGCATGTTGCCTACAATTCTGCTGTATACATTCTTCTTTTTATGACCTCAGGGGAAAGCTGCATCTTGGGATCAGTCCAGACCTCAGCCTCTTAATAGGGGGGGACTGTAAGGGGGGGGGGACTGTAAGGGTCTCTGTTGGTGCATGCAGCTTCCTCTTTGCACTTGTCCCAGCAGCTCGTAATTCTGCTAGTGCTGCACTCCTTCTTGTCTTTTCCATATGGTAATAGGAAGTGTTGAGTGGGGGGGGGGGGGGGTCCTGCTCCCATAAATTCAGCAGCAGGTGGTCATCCAGTTGTTGTGGGTGTCCATGGGTGGAGGGACTGTGTGCCTCAAATGAAGACCTGGAAGGCATGCACATCTTGGAGGCCTGGTCACACTTTTGCCCTCCTCACAACTGGCCCATAAGCTGCAGATTTATGGAGTGAGCACGGTACCGACTAAAAAAATACCTTATCAGGGTCAGTATTGTTGTCATCACTATGAAAAGGAAAAAAAATCTATACATCAAAGCTACAGAATGTAAATATTTTTCATTCAAATGTTGGTTGAAGTAACACATTTGAATCATTGCATGTCATTAACTATACATTATTTTTTTTCCTTTGAATAAATGTGTCTCTGATCTGTGAAAGTCATGCTTTTTTTAAAATCCTTATCAGGTGTGAATCAAACAACCAATCAGGCCTATCTGACACGTAACCATCCTGTCTGTGTGAGGGAATGTTGGGGTTGCACCACATGTTGCTGTGACAAGCCGGTTGGCTGCATTCCACTGGACTTTCCATGTCACCACTGCTCCTTTAACACGTTATAGACACAGCACGTTTCAATCATAAATCTTCATCTATAAAATGTGCAAAAATAAACAAGGCTCTGGAATTTCCAAACAATGTGTGCTGGAAACATTTCAAACAGAACTGATCAAAATATTCTCCATTACAGACTCCACTCACTATTCTGAGAAATGAGAAAGTGGCCACTGTAACGTCATTAAGAATGTTTACAGAAAAGATCCAGAGATGAAAAAGAGAATGGTTATTGGAGGAGTTTTTTAAAGTACAATATCTGAAACATATTGCAGAGGTCATTAGCATGTTTTAATGATGTTTGTGTTTTTAGTGGGCACCACATACCAGTATTTGTTTTAAATGAATGCCTCTTGTATACTGAGCAAGAGTAGAGTGTAGGATCTTCTCTTTTTAAGACTGAAGTTCAACATCCTACAACCCTATACTTCACGAGGTGTGAACACCTTTCAAACATACAGTAAAAAGTAAAGAGTCCTTCTTACACCAAGTAACTCATAGTATCATAGATACGTACACATGTTCAGAAAAATATTTTCCTGTAAAGCTTTTTACACAATTGTTAAATATTCTTATTAGAAGAGTTCTATGAGAGATAATACTTCTAATTCTATGTCTTCTGAATGTTCTGTTCTGTCCTCTGCTTCACCACAGGTCCGGCTCCACCCAGACAATCTTCTGCTGCTCCTCCCGGATGATGGTGCGCAGGCTTGTCAGCAGGGAGGCCTGGTCACACCAGGAGTCCGGAGTCACGCTGTGATACAGACACGGCAGCTTGTCCAACAGGGGCTCCTCACTCCTTGAACATGCGAGGAGCTGCTCCTCTGACTGGCTGTGGCGATGCAACTTCGCCCTTGATAGAAGGAATAAAGGAGATAAAGTAAAAGATGAATGCAGGATCTACTGTACATCTTTGATCAGATAAGGACAGTACAAGTGTAGACTTTCACGACGTCAGGTTATTTCCTTACAGCTAAAATGAGTTTGTCTTATCTACATGAAACATCAACATGAAAGGCCAGGTTCTGTTTAAAGGGAAAAGGTTTCTCTCTGGACTGGCGACATTTAATGAAAGACAAATATCTCTCTGAAGAGATGAGAGTTTTCCTGTGACAGACCGACCACTTTGCGGCTGCAGGCGGCATGAATTTTTTTAAAAACTTTTTTTTCCCTCTGTTGCTATTCTTAAGTTATTCAACATAAATAAAATCTGGTCAGCAGACTTAAAGGCCTGTTTGTTAAGTGTACTTTGGGATTCAATGGTTTTCATGGAAAGTTAGATTTAATGTAAATGAAACCATAGTTACTGAAATACACTGATGTAAAAGGTTCCCTAAAGGTTTGCAAAAACAAACACTAAGATACAACACTGGTTCTAAAGAAAGTGTGATGCTCTGACATGTAAATAAAACAGAAACAATCATTTTTAATATTGCTCAAAAATCTTTCACTGAAAATCACAGTGAGAAGATTTGTTATGTTTAAAATTCAGAAAGTAAATCCAAAATATGCACTCACCCTCAGTTACTTATATGAGTGCTGAAGTGGAAATGTAAGATTTTGGTGGACTGTCCTGAACTTCTTTTCATACATTAAGTTTAAAATTCATCCATGCACTGATTCCTCATTTGATGCCTTCTAATTTAATTCAGGTGTAACCCCTTTTTTTAAAAGTCGGGTTGTGTCCGAGTACGACAAAACAAACATCACTGCATGGAAACAGACCCAGCTTGTATGAGTTACTGTATATGATCACTGATCAAACATACATATTTCCATTTGTTTTTTCTGTGTGTTAACGTCATACACAGGACAAACTGGGTTATTCATCTCCAGTGGGGTAATCACTTTCACCTGAGGCATGTTTGCATAGCTGAAATCTTAAAGATGATCTAAATCTGATAAGCTGCATCATGAGCAATGAGGTGAGCTCTGTCAGAAAAAGTAGAAAAGTTTACCTCAGTTTACGTGCACTGCGTGCAGACTGGCCAATGAAGATGATAATAGGGAAGATCTGAGCCCTGTGCAGCCGACGCACGCAGTCCAGCCCCAACGGCAGCACACAGTGGATCCCCTGTTGAGTAAGGAGAAAGAATGTTAGAATACGCTTTAAAAGTCAGTGTTTTTACTTCACACAACTTTAAGGCAACACCATGACACTGCAGAATGACAACATGCCCAAAATGGAAGTGTTAGCATGCTTATGTTTAGCAGGATGGTTTACCAGGTTTATCAACTGTAGCTTAGTCAGTTAACATGCAATTCATTGCTTAAGAATCAGAAAACAAATCAGTTTAGCAAGTTTTTGGTCTTACCATGGAATGCCAGACTGTTCAAATACACGTGACTTTCAACACGTTAACAACACATTGTATACCATTTGTTTACACGGTGTTTACACGTTGTCTATGCGTTAAAATCTGACATGTCAACAACATGTAGACAACACAGTCACTACTAGTGCTGGTAGCTGAGCAGTAAGTCTAGGGTTGCCTACCAAGGCCTCTCATTTCTTTGCCCTTTTTTCATTTTTCATGTAGCTTTAAAAAAACTATATTTTGATTGCAGTGTCATGACTTTTATATATTATATTATTTGGTAAATAAACATATTAATGGACACTCTAGCTTTAACACTGATTAAATGGCAGTGTGGACAGCGACCGTGTGATCATGTGCGACGCGACATATAAAGCTTGCTGTTACTGTAGGACACTAAGTCAATGTAAAAATGTATCATTTCTGTCCTGATGATGGTGCTAGAGATGAAGGGGAAGGTTGTAGGGCTTGAGGGCATAGCCTTTATTTTGGTAAAGGTATGCAGGATCTACAAGTACAGATTGGCTGAGTGTGTTTGAATACAGACATGAATGTGTCTTCATGAAAAAAACAGCCAGACTGGTTACTAGTGTCATCTGGAACAGCGAAGCCAATCCCTGGGGAAGAACTACAGCTATACCAGGAGGGAAACTGAGAGCATGTGTAAACTTAACTTCACAAATCTGCAAACCTGGTCAGATATGATTTTAATTTAGGCAGTACACTGTGAAAAGTGATCTTACTTTGCCCATATAGACATAAGACTGAGATAAAACATGCATGTTGATGTCCTGTGATTTTGATTTAATAAACGTAACAGTGGGTATAAGCTAATGTATATTCTAATGCAGAAATGTGTTATTTCATGTATGTGACTAAATCAAAGGGATGCAGCAAATTGCCTTTGATATAGATTATATCTGTTATCAGTGCCAAGTCCAAGGATACAACTTCCATCAAAAACGCCATGTATGTGCCTCTCCTCTGTTTTAAACACCACACATGAAATCTGTAATCTATATTGTATAAAATTGATAGCCAAAATAACAGTCCAAGGTATTTTACACAAAAACATGGTGCACGAGGAAATGTCTGTATTGTCAAAGTTATTGAGTTGGAAAATTTGAAAACTATGAATTTTTGTTAAAAAACTCACAACAATAGATTTAGTGACTTAGTTCTTACAATCAGGACAAAAAAACATCTGTTCAACTCTTATGATTTGATTCTGACCTTCTTCATGACTTTGTTGACACTCTGCAGAGTGTAGCAGCAGTTTCCTCCCTGCTCACACTCCTCCAGGATCTCAGACCTCTGCAGACGAGCTCCATGCTCGCTGGCGTTTAGCATCTCTGTAGAGTGAAGGATTGGAGAGATAGGAGAGAGAGAATCCAAGATATAAGGCATGAGGTGATAACATCTTTGTTGTCATTCATTTTAATCATGTAGATAGAGTTATGTATACTTTCATTTTCATTAAAACACACACAATGATTGACCTTAAAGCTATGTTAAAGCTCATCATTATTTATAGCTACATGATCTTGTTTGGTGTAATATCTGAGACATTTGGATTAGTCTCTATCTGCATGACCTCTTGTCTTCTGTTCTTTACATTTGTCTTTGTTATTACTATTAAACTTCCAGACAATGAACATCAAACCTTCATTTCACCTTATCATCGCAGGGTTTCCGGACAGCATTTAACATCTTTACAGCCTCAATAAATGTAATCACTATTTATACACACAGTTGATTTCCTTCCTGGTTTGCAGCAATACACAAACATGTGATTAAAATAGACTCATCTGTGGGTGCTTTGAAGTGTGTTACTGTGTACCTAAACCTTATACTCCAGCAGAAACAAATATGAAATATGAATACACGTGCTATCATTTCAGAAAAATAACAGCATTGAATTCCCCACCAGGCTCACAGAGCTGGAAGCCCTGCCATCCTTCCAGCTTCTTGTCCAGGATGCGGCCCAGGACGGTGGGCAGCAGCAGGACAGGCCTGCAGATGGGTGGGTAGTGTGGAGTGACCAGGGTGTAAGGCATGAGGGACATGCAGGTTTTAGATGCTGATGAATCTCCTGCAAAGGAAATGATTCACATCGAGAGAAAGGTACGTGCATTCATTAAAAGTCTTTATCAAACAGTTGATATAAGACAGTTAAAAAAACATTTGTAGTTTTTGAATCTGCTGCCCCAGGCTATCATACTATACCTGACTCTAGGGTCTTCTCATCCTCCACACTGACCCACAGTGGGTTCCTGCCCTGTCGCCCGGTGCTGACGATCCTCACCGCCTTCTCCTTATTCTGAGACACAAAAATAAGAAATATTCCAAGGAAGACGTCACCAGTGAACCTGGGGGGACAGAGCCTTCTCTCTGGAACTCACTCCCTACACACATTCAACACTGCACCGAGCCTCCTACTTTCAAATCTCTCAAAACTCACCTCTTCAAACAAGCTTTTAATGTATGATTGTGATGTATTTCCTGTTTTCTGTAGTTTACCTTTATTGTTGTTATCTTTATGATTTGTGTGTAATGTTGCAATGTCTGTTAGTCTGTCTTACTGTGCTGTTCTTTCTGTTTTTAACTTTGTGTCTTTGAGTTTTTGAAAAGCGCTTATAAATAAAATGTATTATTTTTTTTTTTTTAAAGATTTATTTTTGGGCTTTTTGTGTCTTTAATGGAGAGATAGGACAGTGGATAGACTTGGAAATCAGGGAGAGAGAGAGGGGAATGACATGCAGGAAAAAGGCCACAGGTGAACCCGGGCCACCCGCTTGAGACGACAGCCTCCATACATGGGACGCGCGCACTAACCACTGTGCCACCAGCGCCCCAACAAAATGTATTATTATTATTATTATTTTGGATAGTTCCAGCAGGGCGGTAGCATTTTCAATGATTCTCACCTTTTGAGACTTCTTCGTTTGAAAGCTCATTTCTTCAATAATACGGATCAGAAGTCTTTGTGCCCTGTGTCATCAGAAAGCAGAAGTTCCCAGGACTTTGAGCAGTGTTTTCAAAATGACTTGCAAGTTCTCACTTTCTACCAAAGCTGCCACTCCCAAAAACACATCTGCTGCATATTTCTCATCAGTGTACTCACCTGTAATAGTTTGGTACGGTTCCGCTCTTGAGGGCCAGGAGCTGACAGGGATGAACTTGACTGGCGTGCCATGAGTCCTCGCTGTTAATTGGTCGTGTGTTGGTCACATGAAGGATGTCGTTGCAGGACACGGCCAGGGATCCGTTTGGACCGGCAGGGAAGGACATGTTGACACGGACGTAAAAGGAGTCTCCTGATGATGTCTGACTGCTCTTCAGTTTCTGCAGCAGCACTCATAGTCTGAGAAGGCAGAGGACAATCTGTGTTTGTATCTTCTATTTACACAGGATGAACTCTATTACCTTTTCACTAAATGTGTACTGTGGCTCTGTTGTGTGTGTTTGTTTTGTTTGTTTTTTCCAAATAAGAAAGTTATCGCTCTTGTTAGAGTTAAAAAACCCAAAACAAATCTT